AAAAAATCAAGAAACCCTGAAAATCAGGCTTAACTCCTTTCATAATTCATTTAAAAACATCAAGAAACCCATGAAAATCAGGCTTAGTTTCTTTCAAAATTCATTTGAAGACATCAAGAAACCCCTAAAAACTAGGCTTAACTTCTTTCAAAATTCATTTGAAAACATCATATTGTTTGGGTAACGTTCCCCACATCAACGTAATGATTCTTCTCGATTGGGCTCCTCGATATTTGAGGCTTAGCCACGTTGAACAAAATCCTCTCCATTTGAGATTTTAATTATGTTATTTTTCCACTACAACAAATTTATCAATTTATTACGAAATTTCTATATGACGTTACAAATAACGTCACAAAATATACTATAAATGTGACATTTTTTCGTTTTTGTCACATTTAGTTATTCATGATATATTTTTTATGGCAATTTTAAAAATTGTCATTGATTTTTGTCACTATATGTTTGGAGCCAAAATTTGCCTCCAATTTTTTTTGGTGGGAAACATTTTAATGACGTTTAGATAAAATGATGACATTACAAAATTGTCTCCAATAAGATATAACTATTAGTGACAATTTATTATTATGATGATATTATTTGAATTATTGACATTGCATATTTGTCACTTATAAGTTGTATTTTGTGACAATTTAATTCATCATATATTTTAAGATAAAAATATAACGTTTTATTTGTGCACAAATAGGTTTAACATAACGAAAGCAATTATTTGTCACAATCTTTGTCTTTTATATAACAATTTTAAAAGACATCATGAGATCGTGTCACTTAATATTTGGCACCATGAATTAACAAAAGAAAATTGTGGAAATTTTTCTAGTGACATCTTAGATATGTCACTAATTTAAAATCTTATTAGTGATAAATTTCAAATGTTTTTTAATTTTTAAAATTTATGTATTATATATATAAGATTTTTTTGTTAATACATATATGTATATGTATTTATATGTTCAAGATCTCTTTTACTGTTAAAAATAATATTTAGTTGATCATGTTAAAGACGAGTACTAATAAGATAATTAATGTTGTGCCCCAAAAAATGAGATTAAAATAATTTTGAGATTAATAATTAAATACGTTGTTCCCAAAAATCTAGTGGGATGAGACACTAGATCCCTTAAACAAGGTCAAGGGTTTGAATCCTAACGACCGATCTGAATCAGTCGATCAATAGATCGGATACTAGTGATTATACCAAAATCAAATGAAATGAAATAAAAAAGAGATAAAAATATATTAATCCTTAAAATTGACAATATAAAAAAGGAAAAAATGTGTGAGTGAAAATAAAATAGTAATAATAACAACAATTAAATAAGATAAAAATAAAAAAATAAAAACACATTAATGTAAGGACCAATATGTAAAAGAAAAAATTAATTGGGTTGCAATAGCAAATAAATTTGACAGAAAATGATAGAATTAAGACAAAAATAATAAAGCTAAGGGACCAAAATTAATATAATCCTAAAGGTTGCATAGCAGCACGGGTCTCCATCCTCTTTCTTCATGTCAAACTAAGAAAAATAAAATTCTCTCAACATCCAACACTAGCTGCCGATGCTTTTAAGCCCTCGCCGCTGTGCTACGGTGACTTTACTGGCGATACTTTGTATCAAAATGACCCACAACGCCTTCTCTTCTCTTCCATCCGAACGAATCTTCCGAGACATGAATAAGGACAAGCAAAACTAGATTGGAGCGTTAGTCTCTTCATTTGTTGGATCCACGATGTTCATCGTCAGATAGGATTGAAATCACGCATTGTTCCTCTTTTTGACTTAGGCTCCTTATCTACCATTTCAATTCACCGGAATGCTCCAACCGTCACCAACTTAAGAACCCGATAAGCTTTCCCTCTTCTCTCCCTTTTGACTTCGTTTTCTCCCCATTTTCCCTTCTCAAATTTCTTATTTTCTTTGAATCTGGTGGTATTGGATTTAACTCGATCGTGGGTTTTGGGTATGGTCAAGGTCTTCGAATTCAAATCTTCTGGCTCTAGATTTTCAATATGGGGAAATTCGTGGTTGAAGACCATGTTTGCTACATAAGCTTCTGAAACTGATGATAACCCAATTGAACTTTACGGTTCTAAAAATTGATGACGCCATTAGTCCATCCGACTATTGAGGTATAATTTCCAAACTGTTTCACCTAGAAGATTACCCTGTTTCGATTATGTTTTATAATCGTCTTAAACTTTTTTTTGTTTCTCGAGAGAAACATGCTTTACTTATATATTTTTGAACTGTCGAGTCCTGTGTTGGTTGAAATAGAATGATGGACTCATGTTACTGGAAATGATTATTTACATCTTTAGTTACCACATACCTTCAATCAACAATGAATCAGTTTTTTCGTTGTGCAGGGTGTTGGACTGGAAAACTTGGGTAATACAGCTTTATTGTACTTATTATACTCTTCTGATTTTCTTTTCTTTGCCACAGGCATTCCCTTCAGGAAACTGGAACTGTGTCTACTGTACATGCAAATTTTGTGGGATGGTTGGAAATACACATCAAAGGGGCAAAGATGACGGTGTAGTTCCTACAGTTCTAACATGCCATTTATGTGAAGAAAAATGTATGCCTTTGTTAAGTTCCAAGCTGTTGTTTTTATATGTTGATTACCGATTCCCCTTGACCTTTATTTATAATTTTGGTGCGTTGTTGTTCTTGCTATCATATGCAATTCATTTCTTAAGGATTTTTTTGGGTAGATCATGAGCCATGTATTCTGCCAATGGATGCTTTTGATGACGATTCAAGTAGTGCATTCTTTTGTGGGAAGATATGCAAAGACGCATAATTTTAGTTTGCAATTGATATAATTGTGCCGAGGGGAATTTATGGTGGTTTCCTAGATTTGTAAATATAATTTTAATGGCTATTTTCCACTGTCAGTTAAGCTATGTCTACTGGTATGAAATGATTGTGATTCTCACTTTGTCAAATTTAATGAGGTTGTCTCTATTTTTCATGTTTCGAAGTTGATCTTTAAGGGTTTTTTTTCTTTGGGTTTTTATAGTTGTTTGAAAGACTTCAGAAGCTAGTTGGGGTTAAACATGAACTTCCAGAAGGCTTCTCATGGACCCTTGTTCAGCGCTTTGAGATCAGTTCAGACATTTGTCTCAATGAAGCATATCAGAAGGTTGAATCAAATTCAAAGCTAGATGTTGCATTATCTGTGATGGATGAGTGCTTTTGGCCTCTTGTTGACCACAAAAGTGGGATCAATCTGATTCATAATATTGTCTATAATTCTTGGTATGTGTTCCATCTGTACTTAAGTCTATATTGCATTCTTGAATATAACTACTTCTAACTATGATGTGAAAAGTATGGTTTAATCTTATTGCTATGCACATCATCATTTATTTATTTCTTTTTTTGGGTCTTCAATCTTTGAATCATAATGAGAATCCTTGTGATCGTGTGTCTCTTGTTTAATCTTTGTTCCTTTATTTTCTTTTAGGGTTTCTCATTGTTTTTGTTTGAATTGCCAGGTGGTAATGAGGGTTTTTGTTTACTTTGTGCTCTTCGTCATCACATTGAACCTTGATTGAATTCATCAAGAGTTGTATCGCCTCACAAATGATTTTACAAATTGAACAATATCCATTATTTTTCTATTAGTAGTTTCATTAGTTTATAATTAATTGGTTGTTACATAATATGTGATAAGCATTGAATGATTCTGATTTAGAATTGATTTTTTAGTAAATTTTGGCCACTTTATTTCTTTAGTTATTGTATTTTTAAGAGATTGACATATTTGTTATCAATGTGCTTGGAAAGGTGTATTTCAAGTATGGAGAGGACTAGAAAATACAGAAATGAAGTGTGTTCATAATTTTGATTCTTGACTCTCATGGACCTAGGCATTGTATCATTTTTCAGAGATATCAACTGGAAGATGCTCATGAGTTCCTGCAATGCATGTTAAATAAGCTTGAAAACTGTTGACTAAAGCCCAAGAATGATTTGTCCTCTCTTGATGATTGCCTCGTTAAGAAGGTTTATTGTGGTCGCATGGTTAGTAGAGTATAAATGTTGCAACTTTATCATGGGTCATTATTGTCATTTGTAAAAGATGTATATTATTATTGTAATTTATGTGAACCTCTCCTTTAATGTAATTTATAAAACGTTGCGGTCTCTATTATAATTTATAAAAGGTTTTATCCTTAATTTTAATTTATAAAATGTTTTGTCCTGAATTTTAATTTATGTAAAGTTTTGTCCTTTTACTAAAATATGTTGTCCTTTAGTGTAATTTATAAAAGTTTTGTCCTTAAATATGATTTATAAAAAGTTGTGTTGTATATTGTAATTACTAAAAAATTTAGACATTTATTGTAATTTTACGCTTTTTATTTATTATAAAAAATTATAACAATATTTTTTGTCACTAATACAATAAAATTATTATATTATTAGTGATATTAATAAATAGTGACAAAATTTTATATTATTTTATGACAATTAATTGTCACTAAATATAATTTCTAAGGTAGCGCAATACATTAACGTCACTGTGTATTTAATAATACGTGACGAAAATATATACATCGTCATATTTGACATTTAGTGACACACCTAGCGTGACGTTCGCCGTGACATCAAATTTTACATCACAAATATAAACAGTGACATAAATGTGAGTTTCATTGACGATATTTCAGATACCATAAATAAACAAATTTGTTGTAGTGTTCTCTCTCTTCTTTTCCTTAAACAATCTGTAAAAATATGCCTTGATGCATGAAATGTGCATACAATGGATATGTTTCTAAATGTTATGCATGACTTTCTTATGTGCATAAATGTTTATCAGTTCTTCTCCTGGATAAAAATGGAGACACCAGTTTTCCTTTTCTTGATCATCTTTGCATGGAACCTGCCTCAATATCGATGTAGCAATTTGCCTTCTCAGTTTGCAATCTTCTGAGGATCAACCTGATCATCTTTTGGTCCTTGTTTTCTGTCTTCATTTCGGAGGAAATGTTTTCTCAGATTCTTGTTGTGACCATATATATGGCCTTAATGCCATTTTTGCCCTTGACTCGACTGCTCAATCAAATTTATTTCTCAGTACAGGTCTTCCAACTGAAGCTTGAATGGTTTGTTTCTCAAGTAAGATCTTTTTACTTTCATTTTCTGCCATGGGTACTCTAAATGGTGAGGCTCATCCGCCATATCTTCTTGATTTAAATCTTGTGATCTTAGCGATATCTTATTTTGGTAATACCCCAATGTGGGTACTCATTACTCTTTCGTGCCAAAATCTTAATCCCAAATGGCCTCACTCTTGAGTCGCTAATCAGTAATGTTATCAAATAACTTGAGGGCTTCTCATCATGATGTCACAATAAGATAGACACTTAAGAAATGATCAACTCTTATATCAAAATTGTCTTTCATTTTCGCTATGAGTTGGGGTATATGCCACCTTCAACTGTTGGCGATAATCTACTTCTGACAACATCACAATGAAGTGTTAGAAGTTCTGTCCTCTAGTCCTTATGATCTCTCGGACTATTTGCTTTCAAGAAATGCTTTATTTTATGGCCTCGTTTTTTTTTCTTTGATAGAGATAGAATTAGCCTCACCAGCTTCAAGGACCTTTCTCACTTGAGATTGTCCTGTTTGAAAATGTTTCTCTTATTTCTTTTATTTTAGAAATGTTGAATAAAATTAAAAATGTTGTCATTTTCTTCCGGCTCAAAATCAAAACAAATTGTAAAACAAGAGTTCATTGAATATCAAATAAGTCAAATTTTCTTTTAATCCTTCAAAAATTATATACATTTGAAAAGTGTAAAGATTAATGTTGATATAAAGCTTAGGCTGACTTGGGAAGGTAATGTGTTTCAGGTTAATTTGGAGAGGTAATGTGTTTTAGGTTGGCTTCTTGCATTCTTGATCTTGTATCCTAGATTTTGATGTTCATTGATCTGATGAAGCAACCATCATGCTTCTCTTCTGGAAATGTTCACTAGTTCTCAGCCCTCGTGAACGCCTTCTGTGCAGTGATTGACAATCTTCGTGTTCGAGCAACCTTTTCAGGTTTTCAACTCATATTCTCCTTTATTTTCAAGACATTATCTAAAATTTTACGTCTTGAACGCTCCTTTTATTATTATTTTTTGTCATGCATTAAATATTTTAGAAACCATTTTTTGCATATAATATTAACCTTAAGGGGCAGAATGAAATCTGAAGATAGTCTCTCCACCTAGAAATACATGTATGATTAGAAGGGACTTTTCAGGTACGTAACGTAGGTCGGGGCTTATGGTTATGAAAGAAAGGGATAAATAGGCCCAAGCAAGTGTTTAAGGGTTATTGAACCAATGATCTATGCATTCTGATGTCTTCAATATTGTTTTACTCGACTTGAATGTTCTTGCCTGTCTTTTATTCTCTTTTTATTTTGTTTTGGTGCTCTCTGATCTTCTGGCGAATTGATTCTAGATCTTTGGCTCGTCTTGAAGTATTAGATCTGTCTATTTTCTTCTTTTTTTTTTCTTTTTTTTTTTTTTTTTTTTTCTTTTTTCTCTCTTATTTTTTCTCTTTTTTTCTTTTTCTATCTTTTTATGTCTTTTTTTGCTATATATTTTCTTCTTTCCGTGTGTTGTCAACACGATTTGATCTTCGAGCGCTTCGTATTTGGTCTACCTAGCATTATCTTGTTATTTCTCACTTTATTTCATCATGACATGCTTCGGTAGTAAAATCTGGATTGATGATCTTCACTCATGCGTGCAGATGTCCTTCACCTCTGCCCCATAGTGTGGAGGGTGATCATTGGTTAGGGTTGAATCAGAAGAAACAATATTATAGGCTCAAAAGGGGACAAAAGGGATATATATACATATTGTTAAGAGGATAAATGAAACAAAGCCATTCATCATCTCATACATGGAAGTCATTGTAAAAGAGGTATCCCTAGGGGGACGAGTATTCAAGATTAACCTTATTTACATGAAAACAATGTAATTAATGCATGACAGAATTATTTCAATGATTCACTTTATTTCTTCTTCTTCTATTTACTCCTACTATACCCAATTATTCGAATTCTCAAAAACTTGATCCGCAACACACCATTTTCTCTTTCTTGCAGGAAAGATCCTCATCATGCCCCAGGATTTATTGAGGTTAGGAAATGAATGTTGGTTCCGTGTCTCGGAAGGGAAATGTGTGAATTTAAAATCATAATTCTGAAGAAAAAAATGTAATGTTATGAAATGTTATTTTTGTCTGGGAAGGTTAAAATACAGGTTTTGGTGCCTCGCGGGGACTTTATGGTTTCAGGTGGAAGTGATGTCAAGGTTCGGTCTTTTGGGATTAAATGTGTGTTATTTTGGGTAAGTGATGAGAGTTCAGAATTGATAGTATTTGCTTGTTAATTCTTCGATCTTATGAATTTATTATTTTTGATTTGGTTGTGTTATGCTTGTTTTCGTGCAGGGTCTTACTCTCCAAACTTAGTGGTAAAACGGGCGCATTCTGTATTTTTTTATTTGGTCACGGCTGGAGACATGGGCACAACTCTGGGCATTACACGGTCTGACGTGGCAGTTTCTAGAAGGTCTAGTCAACGACAGTTTCTAGAAGATCTACTCAGCGCGCCTTCTGAAAGATGGACGAGCAGAGTTGCATTAGGAGACTTGTTTAAAGTTTGAATTTAGGAAAACATTTATCTTTAGGATTATTTTATTTTAATTTCTTTGATATCTTTAGGCTTTTAGAGGCTATAAAACCTCTTCGGGTAAGCCTAAAAACACAACTCATATTACAATCTTCTTATTCTTTCTAGTTTTTATTAAAAATTCTCTCTTTTATTTTTATTCTTCAAGTT